ATTTAAGAAGAAATAATACCAATTCTTCACATACTCTTTCAGAAAATAGAAGAGAAAGTGCTGGTTAACTTATTTTATGATGCTGGTATTATCAGATACAAGGACATTACAATAAAACTACACACCAATATCCCTTATGAAAGTAGACACAATTCTCCTTAACACATATTAGCAAATCCAATCCACATATATGTAAATTCAAAAGACCTAGGAGAGCGTAAGGTATTTTTTAAAAGAGTAGCAAAGTTGGAGTTTCACTTATTGAAACTGTTTTCAAGGCATGCTATAAGCTATAGTAATAAGGACAATACAGTATTGATGAAAGAAGATATCTGTAGTTCAGTGGAACAAAAAGACCCAAACACAGATGATCGATGGATTTTCCATGAAGGTGTCAAGGCAATTTAACAGAGAAAACAGACTTTTAAACAAATGGTGCTGGAACAACAGGATATCCATATGGAAAAGAACATTAAAAATAGATCCTTACCAATTTAAACATGTGGACAAAGAGAACAGATTAGTGGCTACCAGGGGAAAGGAGGGGGTGGGGGGTGGGCACAAAGGGTGAAGGGGTGCACCTACAACACGACTGACAAACAATAATGTGCAAGTTTTCACAAGATTGTAAACTATCAAAACTCAATAAAAATTAACTTAAAAAAATAGATCCTTACCTCATACCATACCTCCAAATTAACTCAAAATGATCACTGACCCAAATGTAAAAATACTATAGAAGAAGAAACCATAGGAGGAATCTTCACCGCTTTAGCATAGGTGAAGATTTCTCAGATAATAAGAAAAGCACAAATCATAAAAGAAACAGTTGATAAATTAGGCTTCACCAAGATAAAAACATGCTTTTCAGAAGACATCCATACGGAAACGAAAAGACAAGGTACAGAATGGGAGAAAATATTCATAATAAATATATCTGGCAAGGAGTCTGTACCCAGAATATACAAATAACTATTGTAAGTCAACAGTAGGAAGAGAAAAGCTGTAGATCATGAAGGTGTGGGCAACAGCAAGTACAAAGGCATGAGGTAAGGAAGTGTGTACAGTGAACTTGAGAAGTATGGGGTGACACAAGAGATCTTTTAGAAGTTGATTTTGGACCACCCTTTTCTATTCTAAGAAGCATGAGATTAGCTGCAAATTAGACAAAGAAGAGTCTCTGGAAGTTTGAAAATAACCAAGTGACACAATGTATGTGACGGGCATTACTATCATTCACCAAATATTTCCAGCTCTCTTTCCAGGCAAGTGGTAGATTTCATTTCCCCACCACTTACAAAATGAAGCATGGTCACGTGACCGCTTTGGCCAATGAAATGTGAGTGATGTGCCCCATGTAGGTGGAAGCAGTTTTTGATCTGGCACATTGTCTTCCCCTTCTAAGGTGATCAGAGAAGAACAAGTTGAATGGGAATTTCCAGGAGGTTCCTGTACGGCTATGATAAGCCAAGCCCCATCCCCTTTCCCACCCCCAAACCTGTGAGGGATATGTAGCACAGATGGAGAAAAAACATCTTGTTACTGTGAGTCTCTGACATTTGGGGATTGTTTGTAACTTCCCTAGAAGTAATCTATCCTTTCTGATGCAACGTGCAATTTTAAGTGAAACTCTGACAATAACATAGAAGAGGGATTTCAGAGGAAAGAACGAGCAGGAGACGAGCTAGAAGGCTACCGTGACCTACAGATGATAAGCAGGCAGTGAGGCAGGGGCCATGAGCTTAGAAAAGCTGTGAAAGAATCCAAGGGGCAATGGCAAGAACTGACATGAGTTGATAACGACTCGAGATTCTAAAAGAACCTATGAGTCTAACTGTTTTAGAGGTGTTGACAAGAGAAGGTTCTTGAAAGAAAAAAGATGACTAAGTGGGGAGATGAAGTCAAAAGATCAAAGAAGGAGCTACAGGCATCACAGCAAAAGCACTGGCATCCTGGGGAGCAGCAGCTTGGGCATCCTGGAGAGCTGGTTAGAGATGCAGAATCCCAGGCACCCCAAGACCCACTGAATGAGAGCCCGCATTCACCAAGAGCTCCAGGTGATTCACCCCACATTAAACTTTGAGACGCAGCTCGTCTAAAAGCCAGACGTAAGCATCCATTCCACACCTCCCCACCATACTCATACACCTTCCTGAGGCTATAGAAAGATCATGAACTTTGGAAGAAAACAGATCTGGGTGTGAATCCTCAGGGAGTTTGATGTCATCCAACTTCATTCATTCATTCATTCAGCAAATAGTAAACAACTCCATTCACTCAACAACGGTAAAGAACACCAAAATACCCCTGCCTTAATAGGGCTTACATTCAAATGTAGACAGGCAAACAGTACAGTACTGTTCAGAAAACAGATATAATATTGTGATTATGGAAAAGGGGCAAAAATAATAATATAGGGCTCGTCAAAGGCAATGACCACTTCCTTTTGTTCAAAACTCTTATCGGGCATCAAAGTCAAAAAAAGGGATCTCTGTGTCCTTTGTATGTACAAAAGGGAACATCCCAACTTTCCTTTTGCTTTACCATAAAGAACAGACTGTAAAAAATCAACTCTCTTGACCCTAAGACTATTTTTTAAAAATCAAGAATTCTGGTTAATTGACACCACCTAGTGAGAGCCCCCAACACTGTACCAAAGGAGGGTATGTGTATGCGATGGGGCGGCGAGGAACGGGTGGTTGCATTTGGCTTTTAGGTAAGCTACTTCTCAGTTTAATGTGTGGATGAATCACCTGCAGACCTTGGTGAATGTGGGCTCTCATTCAGTGCGTCTGGGATGGTGCCTGAGACTCTGCATCTCTAACCAGCCCTCCAGGATGCCAAAGCTGCTGCTTCCAGGACGCCAAGTAGCAAGGCTCTAGATGCCTTAGCATCCCTTGACCTCAAGGGAGCTAGTGGGGTGTGCCTGCCCCTTGTGCCTTTACTACTGACCTAAGAAGAATACCATTCTCATCAGGTTCGCCTTATTTTCTTTGATGCAGCTGGAGAACCTGATTCCAATATGTGATTGTTCGTGAAGACCCTGGACAAAGGGCTTCCAATGGATTACTGCAGTAGATACCTACAACTCCTTGAGGTGGGTACCATGATTATGCTCATTTTACAAAAGAGAAGACCCCAGCCCAGAAAGGTTGGCTCACACTAGTAAATGTGGAAAGGATTCAAAATCCAGAGTCTATTCCAGAAATCAAGCTCTTACCCACTGCTTCCTCCTTACTGTATTTACATCACAAGTTTCTTTCCTGCTGTGTCGCGGCAGCAGAAGTGACTTGCAGTCGACTGCCGCCTCCCATTCCAAAATTGATAAAGCCAAGTCTAGTCTTCTGTCAAAATGACTTGGTTTCAAGAAAAGGCAATTAGAATCCAAACTGAGAAATCGTCCAGAATTCAGCAAAAAGAAGGAGCACTTAACACTAGCATTGAGAGTTTTTCTTTCCAGGAAGCAACATCAGTCCATGCAAGATTATCACAGGCCTCTCGGAATTCTTGGACACTGATATTTTATCAACAGAGCACCTGATGTCCTATCTAACAAGGATGGCAGGAAAAGGTTCCATAAGAACCCTCTCTGTCAATGAGGAGAAGCTACTACATACCACACTGCAGCATCCGTGGCCTGGGCACACCTAAGTCTTCATAAAGAGTTTAATATACATATGTCCTTTTCATTATTCTACTAAGAAGAGACTGTAATTCAATGCAGCTAACTGAAACATGCATGTAAAACCATGGATCTCAAACTTGGTTGCACATGGGCATCTCCAGGGAGCTTTAAAACACACTGATACCTGAGTCCTACCGCTGGAACGCCTGGCGTCATTGGCTTGGAATGAACTGGGTATCAGGACTTTTAGAGGCTCCTTAGAAAATTCTAATGTACAGCCACAGTTGACAATCCTTCGCATAAAAAAGAGAGAAGACTATAATATTCACTCTACAGCCAAAAAAAATGGCGGGGGGTGGGGGCAGCTGTCTTCATTCAATTGCTGTCAAGGTTTTGCCTACCTACCTAGCCACATAGGTCTAATACACTAACAGACCCCATTCTAATTGCAAGCAAGTGATTCTCCACAATCAGTGACCAAACCACATATTCCACACTTGGTGTCTGATGACCAACTACTGCAGATGTCAGCAACACCGTCCCAAAGCAGGGCTTCCTAACCTGGAGATGGAATCCAGGTGGTCTGTGAACTTGCATGGGAACCAAAACTATACCTCTATTTTCACTACCCTTTCCTGGAAGTTCAGTCTTTCCTTCACTTATGAATATAGGCAATAAACCACAGCAGTATTGTCAGTTCTTGAAAGTTTGCACCTACTGGCATTTCCACGTCACATTTCAGTTTCGCAGTCATCACCACTTTGAGATTATAGTTTAATAGATCTGCTGTTCCATCTAGGTATTTAATGCAATAATAGTGATGCATCCCTGTTACTATATTATGACTTTAATACTTTGATAGTTGTATTCTAGTAAAACTCATTCTGCTTTAATTGCACTTTACGTATTTAATACCATTATTCTGAGAGGGGTCTAAATGCTTCCCGAGAGCCAGTGCGGTCAGGAGTACCAAAAAGGGCACGCGCCCTGCCCTGAAGACGATGCCCCAAGCAGCCAGATACTGCACATTCGCATCCAAGGCCACCTCCACGAAAGGCCCTCTTAGGAGGGAGCCGGCGTGGACAATGCTGGCTCTTGCTTTCCCCTGCATTTCCGCAGATAAGACTTAGCCTGAAAAGCCAGTTCAACGCAGCAGAGAATAGGATGGGTTTTCTCTTTTCCCTCAGCTGCCTCTTGCTCTTGGCATTTCAGGGTGCCCCGACTGCCAGGCCGGTAACTCGAGCCTCCAAATTAATCAAAACACACAGCGCCCAGTTCAAGCCCAGGCAGACAAGCCCGGGAGCCAGACAAACTCTCCTCTGATGACCCCCAGGCCCCAACCTCTCAGCCCCGCCCGCCACCCTGCATGCCTCACCTCGGATGCCACGCTTCCTCCGCTGCCTTCCCCCGTCCCAGGCAGGTACCGGGCCCTGGGGCACTAATTGCCCAGACTGGCTGGGGGGTGCCTTACCCAGGGGTCGCCCGCAGCGCCGGGAGCCGTTTCCTCGCCCGCCTGCGCGGCGCGCACCTCCCGGCCCCGCAGCGCCCAGATCCACGCGCGCCCTGGTGGCCTTCACAACGCGCTCTCACTGCCAAGTGCAGCGGCTGGAGGAGGTTTGGAGAAGGGGAAGCCGCGAGATGGCACCGCCGCAAGAGCCGGCAGCCAGCGGGGCCGCCCGAGTGCGGACGCCCGGCGCGCCTCCCGCTTAATCTGGGCACGGCCTCTGGCCACTCCCTCCACCCCGCTCGGTCGCCTCCCCTTCGCACACCCCCAAAATTCCCCACCTCCGTCCCGCAGCCCCTGCCCCGCCTAGGCCTCAGGACCTTGGAAGCATCACCTTCTTAACCCCTTACCCAGGATCCGCGCCCACCTGCCCCGCAGGCGTGCAGCCCTTTCTCCTGGGCACGATGCCCAGGTCAGAGGGACATAGCCTGGTGAGTCGGAAGGGAGGGGAACGAGGGCGGGACCTGAGCCACTTCTTCCCTCCCTTGGAGCCACAGTCAAAAGCCTCTGTGGGGAGGGCCAGACAGCGGGCTGAGCCCTACAAAACCCGCCCCGGACCGGCTGGCGAGGCGAGCTTCCCAGCCGGGCTCCCCAACCCGCGTCGCGCAGGGGACGCGGTGGCCGGAGAGCCTGCGAGTCCCTGGACCCGCCGGGGCTCTGAGCGGGCGCCCACCATGCGCCCCCGGACGGCGCCAAGACCGCCTGCGCTGCTGCTGCCGCTCGTGCTGGCGCTCCTGGCGGCGGCGCCCGCAGCGGGCAAGGTGAGTGCGGGCCGGCGCGACGCAGGCCCAGCGCGCTGCGCCCCCAACCCCCGCTTCGCGGGGACATGCAGGCCCCACCCGCGGGTCGCCGTCCTTGAGCCCCTGTCTGGAGGCTGCGGGCCCCACGCGGGTCCCCGGGCGAGCAGCTGGGGACGCGAGCAAGTGGGGATGCCCGGGGAACAGGTGGAATGCGCGGGGCTGGAGGAAGAAGCAAGGAGGAAGCTTGTCCTGTTCCCTAAGAATCAACGGTGGGCGAGGGGGGCTTCCAGAGGTCAAGAGAGAGAGAGAAAAAAAAAATAGATTTGGCCGGGGATGAAGACGTGAGAACACCGGATATAGAGACACGCGATGTCCCCTTGGTGAATCAGAGCAGGCAGCACGGCCTGGCAGAAAGCACAGAAGGCTGGGGAAGGAAACCTGTGCCAGAGTTCCAGCCCTGCCACTTCCTAGATGTCACCTCACACTGACCTCTGACCTCTCTGGGGCCAGGTTTCCTCCTTGTCTAAACTTGTCCTCAGCGTTGTTGGGAAAAGCAAATGCAAAGTTAATAGCACCTTAGAAATGAACTCAGGATAAATTAATCAGTCACTTTGATTTCTACTCGGAATTTGAGAGACCCTGGATTCATTTAAGTTCACCCCATATTTCTTATTCTCTGCAATTAAAAATAAATTGGGTGTTGTCAAAACTCTTATGACTCCTAGAGTTGGCTGACTTGATTTTAACTTGCAAAAGTGAAATTGAACTTTTCAGAGGCTTTCTGTGATTTTTACACTTAAAAAATTTTCTTGTGATGATAGCAGTGTAAGTTGCATTTCCGAGAATGAGTAGATGTTTTACAATTTCATGATTGAGATGATGGTTGGAAATCAATACTCACGTAAATGTGTTACATGGAAAGATTTTGAGAACCTACAGCCACCTGTAATCTAAGTATTTTTCTTTTAAATTAAGACATTCTGGATGAAGCTAAAACCCCTTCCATCACTGCCATAGCTTCCCCCTCCCCTGTCTAAACAAAAGTATCCATTCTCACCATTTCAAGTTTGTTTCCAGACATTTTCTGTGCATTTATGTACACATAGATGGATCCACAAACAGTATGTGTTTTTGTTTGTGTTTTTTAATATAATCGATACCATATACCTATGCTGTATATATCCTTTTGCAGCCTACAGATCTGTCCATGTCAATATTTAAGATAGATTTGCCTATCTTTCTTTTTGCCTTATTGCATGGTTCTCCACAATATGAATATGCCAAAGTTAATCAAACCACTCCCCTATCAATGTACATTTAGCTTATTTAGTGTTTTACGTTCCAAAGGATTTTGCAATCCATGGAATCTCTTCAAGCAGCTGGTTCTAACAAAGATGCACTTTGCATAGACCGGGAATGCCCACCCCAGGTAGCTTAGTACTTCTGGGCATGATGGGTGAAGCCAGTGTAGATTGTCTACCAGCTTTAATCCAGGAACAACTAGATCAACAAGCAAAAAACCTAAAGGAAGTGTATGTTGTGGGAAGGCCTGGGAAGGAGTTCCAGAGCGGGGCTTGCACATCCTTCTAGACTCCAAAGAAGAGGAGACATTAGGGAGGGATGGTGAGGGAGGGGAGGAATTACACGTGTCAAGATCAGCCTGAAAAGTGATGCTCTGTGATAGTGCAACTTCTAATTATACCAATTTTCAATTATATTGTCATATTCTCTTGTAATTGTTACATGTAAAATATTTTGTCTTGAGTTTGGCCAGATCTTTGTTTTTTTTTTTGAGGAAGATTAGCCCTGAGCTGACTGTTGCCAATCTTCCTCTTTTCTTCTGAGCAAGACTGGCCCTGAGCTAACATGCATACCCATCTTCCTCTACTTTATATGTGGGACACCTACCACAGCATGGCTTGCCAAGCGGTGCCATGTCCGCACCAGGGATCCGAACCCACGAACTCCAGACCGCTGAAGCGGAACCTGAACACTTAACCGCTGCACCACCGGGCCAGCCCAAGTTTGGCCAAATCTTGATGACTTCTTGCTGATATTATAATTAATCCATTTGTATTATTTTTATCATCACTTGAAGCAAGTCTTTGTTAAAATTTATAAGAATTATCATTTCCATTGCATCTGCTGAATTACACAGAAAATGTCATTAGAAACCGTGAAACCATCTTCTAGAGAAAAGGAATCACAACAAGTTAACTGAGAGCTGTGACACGGTGCCAGCATGGCTCCCTCCACAGGGTAACAGGTTGGGCGAGGCACTGGACCTCTCTGAGCCTCAGTTTTCTCATGTGTAAAATGAGGGAGTTGAAATCCCTGGTGGGGCCAGTAGGTGAGGTCATGAGAGAGGTATTGGGGTAAGAGGCAGTCTTTAGGGCCAACAAATTTTTGGCATTCTAGAATTCAGGCTCAAGAATACTAGAATCTCTGCTTTTTCAGGAGAGAATCTGGAAGCCTAGTTTAGAAATCTCAAATTCTAGACATTAGCAAATGAGTCAAAACTTTACAAAACAGTTTTTTTTTTAAAGGGCTAAACGAATATATAGCCAAGCAACATATAAGTGAGGGCTCAATTTAGCCTTTGGGCCATCATATTTATCACCTTTGTGCTGCACCAGTTAAAGATACATTTTGCTGCAAATTTCTTCAATTTTACTTTAGCATTTCTCACAACAGGGAGATAGTAGTGGTGTTGACCCTGCTTTCTGAGTTCAGACAGGATGGAACTGTCCACCCACACAGTTTGCTCTGAAGCCGGTGAGTGGACTCCTCCGCTGCTTTGCTGCAGGCGTTTACTTCCAGGCCCCGTTGTTTAGCGCAACCCCAGATTTTCCAGCTCTTCCAAGCCCAGCTGGTCAACTTGAAACTGGGAGGCACTTTGCTGTTGCCTCAGGCAAGAGGTCTGGGAGGGGAGCTAGGGAGAAGTTCTTCTCTGGTATCTGGAGACCGTGAGGTTCAAGGTTTGAAATACTATCACGGTTTGTCTTTCCTCTTTTTGCCTTAAAATTCCAGACAGGGCAGAAATAGGACTGGTAAACATCAGCAGTTGAATAACAGCTGCATTTAGGGAGGATGGTTTCTCAACTGATTGTGTTTTTAAATTTTAAAAATTAAGTTGAATTGGGAAACATTTCAAACAAACAAAAAGGAATGTCGCAGACACCAATTTACCTATCCCTGAGATTGAGCAAGTATTAATAAGCTTTGACCTGTTTGCTCTCACATCTCTCTCTTTAAAACTATATATAAATATAGAAAGTCATAAACACATTTTTTGCCCCCTCTTTGTGTGTGTGTTAGTCAACATAAAACTAAATACTGTATTATTGTTTTGTGATCCTTCAAATGTAGTAAATGGTTTCACGTTATACATACCTATTGAAGCTTGTTTTGTATCTATGGTTTTTATCTATGTTGATACATACAAATTTTGTCTATGTTGATATGTACAAATTTGCTTTATTTGTATACATTCAGATGTGATGGCTGACGCATACTATCCAGTTAGAGAAATAAAGTATAGTTTATTTTTCCATCCCCCTAAACACAGTAAGTTTGTTTCCACATTTTCATCTTACAAAGTGGGAAGTACATCTTTGTATATGTACCATTTGGATAACCAGGTTTTTAATTCCTAGGTGGAATTCAAAGAGGGCTCATAGACAAAGCGTATTTTAAATTTTATTGGGAATTGTTAAATTGATTTCCAAAATGCTTGTACCAGCAATGTGCCAGGGTATCTATTTCCTCAGATCCTCAGCAAAACTTGGTGTGCTTAGCGGTTAATGAGTGTGAAATAGGATCTTGTTTTGACTAGGAAGTTTGTGAATCTTCTCATATTTTAATTGGCAGTTTATTTCCCTCAGAGTGAATTGAATGGACGACTCTTTGCCTGTTTATCTGTTGTGGCCTTTGCCTTTTTTGTTGCTAATTAATTAGGGGTTATTTGTATATTTCAATACCAAACCTTTGCCATTTAAATATGCAGAAAATATTTTCTTCCACTCTTTGGTTTATCGTTTCATTTAGTTATTGGTCCCTTCGTGTAGAACGTTTTTTTCATTATGATCTCAAACTTGTCCATCTTTGCCTTGATATTGTATGTTTTACATCTTGTTAAAGAAATCCTTTCCTTCCCTGGGATTATAAAAATCTTCTTCTACATTAAAAAAAAAATTGTTTACAGTTTAACTATTTTAGGCTTAAGAACGTTAATCCTGGAATTGTTTTCTAGTTATGCGATATGATTTCATCTTTTTCCATATAGATAACAAAATATCCCAACATTATTTACTGAATGATTGAATCCATTCTTTCCGTCACTGCTTTGCAGTGTTAATTCTGCAAATATGTGCACCCAGCACTCACTCATATATGGTTCTGTTTATTTAGGGCTTTAACTTCTCACAACATTCTAGAGT